CGCTGGACTTCACCTTGAGGATCGTGAGGCTGGGAGAACGTTCTGGTATCGCCTCAAGACTAGGAGACCATGCTGAGGCTATGTCAGGCCTAGAGACCACCAAACCTCTGGGAGGCTGCCACACCACCGTGCCAGGCTGGGAGACTGCTACATCAACCCGGGAGGCCGCTCCGCCAAGTTGGGAAGCAGTTATGCCAGGCCGGGAGGGCCCTCGTTGTGTCTGCGCTGAGGTCTGGAGTCGACTGTAGGCCGGAAGAGAAGAAAAATAAAAAACAGAGGGGAGAAGTAAACTGAGAAGAACAGGCGGAGCAGACGTGCTCCAGCTGAAGCTTCCTACTCTGACACCGTTTTGGAAATCTCTGTCCTCTTCTACCACTGGAAGCAATGTTTTCCATATTTCATGCAACATTTCATGTATTTGAATGCTTCTATTATAATCATTCCTGGATTTATGGAGTGCATTCCCAGCTTCTCTAGTTTCCTTTCACAACTGAAATCATTCATCCTCAATACCATTTTTGTATATCTCTTGTGCATTCCTCTGGAAAGGCTTCTTAAATTGTCGTGGTTGTAATTGTTCAGTGTATTCAAGTTGGAGCCGAATCAATGTTTTTATAAAGGTTTAGCATAATCAGCTTGCTTTTGTACTCTTTGCTGCTTTATAAAACTAAAGATTGCGTCTAATATCCTTTAGGAAAAAAACCTGCCATGGTCTGGTCTGCATGTGACTTCAGATTCACAGTAGAGTGGTTGTTTCTTAACACCCCTCTGGAATGACCAAACAAGCCAGTTGGTTCAAGGATATTTGGGGATGGGCAACAATTGCTGGTCTTAGCGGTGACACCTGTAATTCAAGAAAGAATAGATTTAAAACAAAATGCTTGAGGCTTTTATGATGCAGTGATAGTGACCCAACTTCTGAACCAGGAGGCCTGGGTTGAAGTCACACCAGCTTCAGAGCGTGGGAAAACTTAGATATATCTAAACCTTTTAGCAGCCTTCTCAACTTACGTTGGCACCTCCAAGAATGTGTGGAAGCCAGTCATAGCTCTCTTAGTTTCCATACAGTCCTTAGAAACAGAGCAGCTCTGTTGCTGTCCAGTTGTTACAGAGACATTCTTGGATTGTCTTGACGATGGCCACTCTGCAGGCAGAGCTTATCTTAATAATGTCAATACTTGTCTCTCAGGAGCAAATGTTGAGCAATTTTACTTTGTAAACAAAATACTGCGTGGTACAACAACACACTATTGTTCCTGTTAGGGTGAACAGTAAGGCTGGTAAGAGTAGGGCACAATGGATGAATAAAGATATTGAGGTTCTGGTCAAGGATAAGAAGGAGTCATGTTGTAGGAATCAACAGTTGAGATCAAGTGAATCTCTTAAAGAGTATAAAGGGTTTAGGGGTAATAAGAGGGCAGCCAGGAGGGGATATGAGATAGCCTTGGCAGTTAAGGTTAAGCCACAGCGCAACTAGGGAGAGAATCTGTCATCACTGGTGGGTAAGTTGTTGGAAGGGTTTCTGAGATACAGAATTTACATGCATTTGGAGAGGCAAGGACTGATAAGTGACAGTCGGCATGGCTTTGTGCATGGGAAATAGTGTCTTTCAAACTTGACTGAGTTTCTTGAGGATGTGACCAAAATAATAGATGCCTTTGACAAGGTTAGGCATGGTAGATTAATTAGTGAAGTTGGATCACATGGGATTCATGGAGAGCTTGCCAATTGGATGCAAAACTGGCTTGATGGTGGCAGAAAGAGGGGGATGGTAATGGAAAATTGTTGTTCAGACTGGAGGCCTGTGACCAACGGTGTTCCACAGAGATCGGTGCTGGGTCCACTTTTGTTTGTCATTTATATAAACAATTTAGATGAGAATTTAGGAGCTGTGGTTAGTAAGTTTGCGGATGACACCAAAATTGGTGGTATCGTCGATAGTGAAGAAGGCTGTCTAAAATTACAAAAGGATCTTGATCAATTGGGTCAATGGACTGAGGAATGGTAGATGGAGTTCAATTTGGATAAATGTGAGATGCTGCATTTTGGTAAAACAAACAGTGGTCGGACTTGTACAGTTAATGGTAGGGCCCAAAGTAGTGTTGTTGAGCCGAGAGACCCAGAGGTTCAGGTATATAGTTCTTTGAAAGTTGTGTCACATTTAGACAGGGTGGTTAAGAAAGTGCTTGCCTTCATTGCTCAGACCTTTGAGCATTGGAGTTGGGACATCATGCTGAGGTTGTACAGGACGTCAGTACAGCCACTTTTGGAGTACTGTGTATAGTTCTGGTCATTGGTGGACATTGGGATTCTGAGGGACAGGTTTTACATGCCTTTGAATATGCAAGGACTGATTAGGGAGAGTCAACACGGCTTTGTGCATGGGAAATCGTTTCTCACTAACTTGAGTTTTTTGAAGAGATGATAAAGAAGATTGATGAAAGCAGACCGGTAAATGTCCATATGGACTTCAGCAAAGTGTTCAGCAAGATTCTGTATGATAGTCTAGTTAGTAAGGTTAGATCATGTAGGATCCAAGGGGAGCTAGCCAATTGGATGCAAAATTGCCGTGAAGGTAGAAGACACAGGATGGTGGTAGAGGGTTGCTTTTCGGATTTGGAGGCCTGTGACCAGCGGTGTGCAACAAGGATTGGTGCTGGGTCCACTGCTTTTCATCATTCACATACATGATTTGGATGTGAATATAGGAGGCATGGTTAGTCAGTTTGGGCCGTACGGAGTGTTGCTGAACAAGGAGCCCTGGGGTTGCAGGTGCACAGTTCCTTAGAAAGTTGATTCACAGGTAGACAGGGTTGGTACACTTGCCTTCATTGGTCAGTGCATTGAGTGCAGGAGTCGGGATGTCATGTTGCAGCTGTACAGGACATTGGTGAGGCCACTTTTGGAATACTGCGTACAATTCTGGTTGCCATTCTGTGGGGGTCAACCTACCCTATCCCTGCAATCCCGCATGTCCCATGGCTCATCCACCTAACCGACACACACCTGGACACTATGGGCAATTTAACATGGCCAATCCACCTAATCTGCCCATCTTTGGACTGAAAGAAAACCAGAGCACCCAGAGGAAACCCATACAGACTGGGGAGAATGTGCAGACTCCACACAGGCAGTCACCCAAGGCTGAATTCAAACCTGGGTCCCTGATGCTGTGCGGCAACTGTGCTAACTACTGAGGCACTGTGCCGCATTGCTAGTCTAATTTACCCTCTGCCATTTGCATGTGACTTTGGCAGTAATCCAAAGATTGTTACTTTTCTAGTTCTGTTTTCTAGTTTAGACCCGAGTTGCTAGTGACTCCTAAACAGACCTTTTTTCCCTAGTCCTACCTATGTCATTGGTATCTACGTGGACCACGGTAACTGGATCCTTCCCCTTGCCCTCCAAGTTCTTCTACAACCCAGATGAGTGTCCTGAACCTAGTAGGCAACATTGTCTTCAGGACTGTCTTTGTTGCAGAGAGCAATATCTACTCTGCTAATTATACTACCTCTCTTTCTTTCTCTCAAATGGCTTTTTCTCCCATGCTGCTGTGTTCAATTTCCCATCCTCCGTGTAGGCTGTGTCCCCATGCGTACCGGGAGCAAGAACCATGTACCTGTTGGATAAGAGCACTGGTTAAGGCTTCTCCAGAGCTAAATTCTGGATCCTCATACCTCCCTCACTTGCAGTTATGTCCTCCTGTCTCTGACCACAAACCGCATTTGATATAATTAGTTTAAGCGATGTGACTCCTTCCCAAAGTAGTGTACCCTCCCTGATGTGTCATGGTATCCATCTCATCAACTTGGAGCTGAAGTTCATCAGGTAATCATCACTTGCTGCAGATGTCATCATAATTAATTTTGATATTAAATATTTTCAAGGTGAATATCTTAACTGTAATCTTCAGATGTAATAATGACTCCTAATTTAAACGAATTGGCTAACCGAAAACCACGGAAGAAGTACACACCATTTACCTGCCTGCGTCCCTGTAATGTCACACTTCATCTCCTTTAGGAAAATGTAAGTTGAAGGGGCCGTCAGCTGCTGGTTTTTATCTCCCACTTTCAATGCCGTTCTCACTCTTCCGGTCTCTTTATGACGTTTCAGGTTTGCTGTCTCACAGTGTTTGAGAAGCTGCTGACTCCACTTTCTAAATAAAAATCGAGAAAAGTGCGGATGCTGTAAATCAGGATCAAAAACAGAAGTTGCTGGAAAAGCTCAGCAGGGTGGCAGTATAAGTGAAGAAAAAGTCAGAGTTAACGTTTCAAGTCCGGTGACCATTCCTCAGAACTGCTGTCAGCACCTTTTTCTAGTGTAGTATAAATTCCAGTTCGGAGGAAGAGTCACCAGACCTGAAACGTTAACTCTGACTTTTCCTTCATAGGTGCTGCCAGACTTGCTGAGCTTTTCCAGCAACTTCTGTTTTTGTTCCTGACTTCACTTTCTGTCCTATTCTTTATGAAACTGCTGTCCCTGCTTTCAGTCGTGCTGTTTCAGAAGCACTGACTCCTCTTTCTTGCTAAGTCTGCTTCATAGCAATGCTGACTCACTATATTCTGCTCCCAGTCTGTTTCACAGCGATGCTGATTGGTTGCACACTCCTCCCAGCCAGGGTCAACTTGTCAAGTAGTCAGCACCTTTTCCTAGTGTAGTATAAATTATTGTAGTTATTTGAAATTTAACATTTTGACATTGTAATGGAGTATGGAAGAAAAAAAAATGTGCAAGATGACGCTCCTTTCATCGGTATCCACAGGATGTGTGCATTCCAAGGCTGAACATGGCGTTAGAATTTGGTTTCAGTTTTTCATGACTTATCTTAAATGCAGGTATTGTGAATGACTAAAATTAGGACAACAGTGCATCATTCTCAATTCTCTGAGAAGTGAAATTTAATTTAATGGTGACAATTTTGATTTTTTTTGCTGATGCTTTTATATGTTTAGCAGTTGTCATATAGATATTTCAAATGCTTATTTTCTGTTATATAGGATGGATTTTTCTATTCCTTAGTCTACGATCCCTCACAGAAAACACTTCTGGCAGACAAAGGAGAAATACGAGTAGGCTCACGCTACCAAGCAGATATTTCAGACATGCTGAATGAAGGTAAGAATGTTATTTTGTTGAGGCACTTGAAGCGATGCCTTCAAGAGGGAATGGCATTGTATGTACACAACTTGCCTAAAGATTATTATAATTATATAATCAACTTAATTTTGAAAACTGTAGAACTGTCTCAGTGTCTTTAAGATATGATTTTTTAAAAAAAATTCACTTGAGGCATTGCTGGCTAGGCCAGCATTTATTGCCCTTCTCCAATTGCCTAGAGGGCAGTAGAGAGTCAATTGCATTGCTATGAGTCTGGAGTCACATGTAGGCCAGACTGGGTAAGGATGGCAGTTTCCTTCACTAAAGGACATTGATAAACTAGATGGGTTTTTCCAACAATCAACAATGGATTCACGGTCATCATTAATCTCTTAATTCCAGATTTTTATTGGATTCAAATTCCACCATCTTCCATGGCGGGATTTGAACCTGGGTCTCCAGAACGTTACCTTAGTCTCGGTTATAACAGTCCAGCGGTAATACCACTAGGTCATCCTTTCCTCTGATGTTTTATATTTTAAAATAACACTTCTTAGGTGCTGATGTAATTCAAAGGCTATAATCAATCTTGTCAACACCACAAGAAAGCAATTTATTACACTGCTAATACAGTTTAAAGCACTGTATTGGTATGATGCGCCTTGTATCTGCAATTTTCCAACATATTAAATATTTAGTTCATAGAATGGCACTAAACAGATGACATTCCTCCACAGCAAGGAGAAAATGGAAAAATTCTAATTCATAACTTCCAGTTACAGTTCCACGCTTGTAAGAAGAATGGAGCAAGTATGCTATCTTCTTACTTTCTTGACAGGGCAACTTGCATAAAGCAATTGTATGTTCTCCGTTCTCCTTTCTAATCTGAAATTGTGATGTAACAATTTTAACATCTGTCTGTTGATCAACGTGTTAGTTTCCAGACAGCTAATTAGAAAAATAATTGTCCTTTATTATGGAAATACAGATTTCTTATCACCTTAACTCACTTTGCGTTTACAGGAGCTCTCTGGTAGAAAATGTACTTTGGTTTTAAAGCTTTTTAGTGGCTCAATATTCAAAACATCAACTTTGCAAAGATTTTGTAATGAAATCAACATAAAATTCTATGGAATCTTCTGGAAATATGAAGAAAGAGAAGTTAGATTGTGTAGACTTCACATATCTTGAATACCTGGAAAATTAAATAGAAAATCGTATGGTAGTACCAAACTGAAGTAACGCTGAAAAAGGCCTATCTTGTTGAAGTTTTTTATTTTGCACTCATCAGGGCAGTCACGAGGACCAATGTAAAGGGTTAACATTTGTTAATTTAAGTTGAAACAAAGCTTAGCAGTTAATTGTCATTTGTCATCTGAGTGTTGCATTCTCCATCGCAATGCCTCGACTTGCCAATCAGTCAGCATATGGTTGTCATACTACATACAATGGTGTTCCCCAGAACATTAGTGTTATTGCATGTGTCCAGATGAGTGCAAGACAAAAAGCTTTGACAAGATGTACTTTTTTTCCCAGCAATTATTAAGTCCAGCAGGCTGGTCTGTTGAGAATGAAAGTTTTGACAAACTTTTCATTTTTCATTTTTTACTTGAGAAAGAAAGATTACCATGCCATAGTACAAGTTTCATTTTAAAACTAGTGCAAAAAAAATTTGGCCTTGGAATAACTAGATATGCATTGGAGTTGATAAAATGGTTAATTTTTATGTAAAAAAGTTGCTCTGTTGGATGATAGCATCGCTGACAAGGCTGGTATTTTATACCTATCCCCAATTACGTGAGAATATAGCAATGAAGCAACTTCTTGAACTGATGCCATCCCATCTAATATTGGTGCAACTACAGTGCTGTTACAATGGAAGTTCCAGGTTATTGACCCAGCAGTGTAAAGGGACTGCTAATATAGCTCCAGGTCAGGATGGTTTGTGGCTTGGAGAGAAACTTGCAGGTGGTGATATTCCTGTGTGTCAGTTTGTGATATTGCTAAAACAGAGAGAACCAGGAAGGTGAGCAACCTCTTAAAATTGTTTTATGCTGGTCCGGCAGTACCTTGAGCACTTAATTGCATTTTTGATTACTGAGATATTCATGCTTTAGAAGAACTACAGGCTCATTGCATAGTGTCAGATGACCGTTTCTATTTTATCATGGTTCAAAGAAAAGGGGATTTCATAGAGTTGTGCAAGGTGCTAAAGTAATAGCAAAATAGCACAAGTTCAGTCAAATCTGGCGCATGTTAGGAAGATTATTACATGTGGAGTGATCATTAATTGTTTGGCGTTCAAACTGAAGTAACAAAGAAAGAACTCTGTGAAGCCATCCCTGATGATTTGGATGTTGTTTCTGGATGGATGAACGTAAATGGGCCAATTACCTTGCCTCCTGTTTTGTGACCTTCACGGTTTTGAAGAACATTCTTTAAAAGCCTAACTCATAGAATGATGAGACCTGATAGCAATCATAGAAGGAATTGTCTGCTGCCACCAACCATATAGTGATAAATTCTGACTGTGTGCACTCACCACCTATATTTTTTCAAATGCATACATGCATGTGCAGTATAAAGCTGATTTTAATTTTTTTTTAAATTTTACTTTATTTTTTTCTGTTCACCTATTTTTAATTTCTTTCATATTTGTAAGGATTTGTTAGGTTTTTATTGTTTTTTATTTCAGAGATTTTGCTGCCACTGTACATGATTGTAGATATCAGCAAATGCAGATGTCAGTAGAATACAGAAAGAGAGCATTTTGCCCATTGCCAACACTTTCAAAGAGAAAACTGTCCCACTTCCCTACTATTTTCCTTGCATTACTGCAGTTATTTCTCCTTCAAGTATATATTAAATTTCATTTCTAAGGCTAATATCCCGATCTGCATCACTACCTATCAGGCTGTGAATATAAAACCCTAACAATTAATGAACGAATAAGATAGTTTTTTTTTCATGTCACCTCTGTAGTTATTTTACTGATCACCTTAAACTTGTACTATCTGCAGCTCAGTCATTAGAAACAGTTCCTTTGTTTACTGTTTGAATTATGATTTAACAAGATGTCTGAAATCTCTTAGTTCCTGCTCGAAGTAACTCCAGTCCACCACAATACTGTAATGCCTCATCCCTGGATCTATTTTATCAAATCTCTTTATTCTCTCAAGTCTGCACCACATTTGGAATTACTCCAACACACATTGGTTCTTTTTTTTAATTTGCTGAACAAAGGCAGTTGAATAATAGAGGAAATGCATGTGCAAAAATAGAATGATCTTGTTGGTTCCTTGTGAAGACTGAATTTAGCAGTGAAATGTCTGTCACTAATGGATTAGTTTGTTTTTGTTTCTGTTGTAAGGAATAATTAGGAAATTCATTTAGTTTTTTTGATACAAGGCCTAGAGCAAAAGTGTTTCCTTTTTATCATTTGGTGAAATGCCTTGGGATGTTTCTTATCTAAAGCTGCATTATTGATTAACATTTGTAATGACAGTCTGTTGACATTTACAAGAAAATCCAATAACCGTCACATTATAATGCGGAAGAATATCCTACTGTGCTTCATAGAGATATTAGATAAAAGTAAATTTCAGCAGTTGGAACTTGGATGTCATGTAATTAAACAAATGGATTTTAAAATGCAGGAATTGTGTTAACCCCGTTTTGAAAAGAGAATTGATATATGTGGGTATGAGAATTGCTCTGCATTTCTGCCCCGAGCTTTCAATTCTAGAGTCTTGAGTGCTTGGTGCTGGAGGTCAAACTGCACCATCTTTTACAGCAGTAACTGCTGTATTTCAGAATTTAAATATCTAAGGGCACCTCAACAAGCAACAGAGAGAAGGTAAACATGTAAACTAAGTGTGTGAGGGGATACAGTAGCAGTGGGTGGATGAGGGGGTAAGGTGGCAAGTGCTTGGGTGAGGGAATAGAATGACATGGTTTTGGATGAGGGGTTAGGGTGTGTGTGGAGCTGGGAGAATCAGTTTTGTAGTTAGCTAGGAGTTACAGCAGGTTTTAATCCTTCTAACCTTTCCTAGCTAATTATCTGGTTAGGTAAGTCAGAACCCTCTGAAATCCCTGACTCTAACTCAGTTGAGGATTTTTTCAGCGAGTTACAGACACTGAGTAATTGCCCGTTAGAAGTTTCAAATTACCGTGCACATATCATGTAGTCTGTGTGCCAGGACTTCCAAGAGCTCTTGTGCATCTGTCAATTCATCTAGTATCCAACTATCTGCAGACAGGAAGATCCGGGCCCATGTTTTGGATCCTATCTTCTGAGCTGAAAAGGGCATCTGTTGGTGTGATTTTGGATATGTCCATAAAACGATGTGTGAAAGAGTTTCTGAAGAAGGGTCTAGGCCCGAAACGTCAGCCTTCCTGCTCCTCTGATGCTGCTTGGCCTGCTATGTTCATCCAGCTCTACACCTTGGTATCTGTGAAAGAGTTGGCCTTTTTCGTTTCCAACACAAGTCATGAATAAGTCAAATTTTGGGCTATAATTTTGTAATTTCATATGGACAATATCTATTAATTTTCCTTTACCATTCATTTTCCTAGTATCTTATTAGAAGATTCAATTTGATTCACTAAGCATCATCTCTCTCTTTTACAAGCTGTGATGACTATGGTCAATGAATTGAACCTGTTCAAGTGCCAGTCGATTTGTCTCCATTATTTTTGTGCCTAAAACCTTACCATTACTGACATTAAACTGATTAGCCTGTGGTTTCTACAAATGTCCTTACAACATTTGTTATAAAGGGATATCCCATTTGCCTTCTCTAATCCTATCATGGCTCCTCATGTCCAGGCAAGGTTGGAAGATCATAGCAAATCCTTCTAATCTGTTTAGCAATCTAGGATGCAGCCACTCAGAACAGGTTTATGCGCTCTCTAAACATAATAAGCCTTTCCTACTCATTCTATGAAGTTTCATCTATTTCCTACTAGTAATTGTGCTTCTGTTGATTGTTGGCATCCTCGTCTTTAGTGTTTAAAAAGTACCTAATAAAAAGCTGATTAACACCATTGAAGCCTATAGAATAGTAAGGCAGGTGCCAATTTGGATTTTTAAATAAAAGCATGATAGTAATAATTGTGAATTATTATTTTTCAGTTGGATGGAGGTGTTTCCCAATGTCCACTGCTCAGGCCATTGTTTGCTTTTGATGTATATAAATGACTTAGCATTCGAATTGAGTAAAATTTCCAAATTTGCCAGTGGGATCAAGCTTGGATGTGTGGCATATAATGAAGATGCAATATGACACAGGCTAGCAGAATCAGCAGACAACTTACAAAGGGAATTTAATACAGAGAACTGAGGTGGTACATTTTGGCAGTTAAGATAGGGAGAGGCAATATAAACTAAATGGCGCTGTGGAGAAACTGGGGATGTTTTCCTTGGAGCATTGAAGATTGATAAATTTGATATAAATGTACAAGATTGTGGGGAAAAAAGCTTGCTGGTAGCATGAGGGCTTGTGAACAAAAGTTTAGCATTTTGGGCGAGAGATGCAAGGTGAAAGAAGAGCCAGACTTTTATTAAAATTTTGTCAATGGAATGTAGACATTGCTGGCTGGTCCAGCATTTATTGCCCATCTCTAGTTACCCTTGTGAGGCTGTGGTAAGTGGCAACTAGGGATGGGCAATACAAGCAGTCCCTGATTTGAGTGTCTGACTTATGAACGAGATCCCATACGGGCTGTGTCAGTATTAATTATAAAACTCTGCCATGCAGACATTTCCTCATATTTATGAATGGCTATATTATATTGCCTTTTACTGTTCTGTTGCGTTTACAAATTGGCCTGAGAACGTACTCGGGAATAGAATGTGTTGGCAACCTGGAAATTGTCTGTAAACGCTGGCCTAGCCACTGATACCCCACATCACTTGGATGATTTATAAAAAGACAGCCTGATGTAACTCTTTCTTCAAAGTATCAACTTTGTTCATTTCTCCACAAATGCTGTCAGATCTGCTGGGATTCTCCAGCATTTTCCTTTTTTATTCCAGATTTCCACCATCCACAGTGTTTCGCTTTCATATTACAATGACCTGGAACTTGCTGCCCATGAGATGTTGGACATGAAGACTATGAACAACCCCAAAAATAAATTGGATGAGAACTTGTGATGATAAGGAGTATATGGGGGATTGCCATATGGAGTGCCAGTGTAGGTTTGATGGGCCAAATAGTGGCCTCTCTTGCCCTGATGATACCATTATTATTCTATTCGTGATGGAATAAAAGCAAGCTGGATTTTGTTAAAAATGTATGTTCTAGAATATTTTACTATAGCCTTTAAATCATATTCTTGCTTGGAGAAGTAAAGAAGCTTTGAAAAGCATTTGAAAGCAATCACAACATGCAATATCTTAATTCATCAGTGCTTTGCCAATGCTTGAACTATGAAAGCATAGAGAAGTTTTTTTAAGTGATCCAACTTGCATTATGCAGTCAAGTACATTTTACTTTTTTCTGTACAAAATAAAATTGTTTCATGAAAACACAGCTACTGTTTGCTGTTTCTGGATTAGCTTTGGGTTTAGCTTGATTTGTTACCTTGATTTGTTACCTTGTTTACCAGTAGGACCTCAATAAACAATGAAGGGCAATTTCACATGTAATATCAAAAACGCATAATTTAGAATATCTGGAATATGCAAAAAAAATTGAAAATACCACTATTCTAAAGTGGCAGCTTCCACAATATAATGCCCTGTCATCTAATCCTGTGTTGCTTTAGATGTTGACAGCTGTAATATTTGGTTATAATTATTATGTAAACATATAGTTTTAAAAAATTAGTGGACCAAAATACACAGGTATTTGCTCAAATTTGAAAATTTGTCAGTGCCTCTATGCTTCTTTTAATTGAATGATTTACTAAGTTTTAATAAATTCCAATAAATAATAGATAATCACCAGAACATTGGAAAAAAATAACGTGTAGGGTAATTTACATTATTTTTAATAGAAAGTTCAGTGCAGTGTTGTAACAGTATGTTAATATGTAAATAATGTGGCAGTGACTTACAATACTTCAGAAGTTGAAAGCAGTTTGATTATTTTCATTACATTTTCATTATTGTGGGAATCAGTCTTGATACGAGGTATTGTTTTTTAAAGGAATCTTTTCATTGATTGAAGTAGAAAACATATGATATTTGTCAAAGTTTATTGACTTTTTTTGTTTGAAGAAGCCAATTATTTCACCTTGTAAATATCAATTTGCTGTTAATGGGTTGTGCAAGACATATACTCTTGAAAAATTCAAGTTTTGCTAGTTTACCTTTGTGAAAACTTGCCCCACTATCTGTGGAATAAAGGATGTTTACTGTCTTTTTTCAGTGCAAGTCCAGAAAATTAGTTAATTGTCACCATCCCTACATATTAATTTGTGAACTATCTTACAAACTTCATTAATTGATTTATATGTCTTAGTAGGTTAAATAATGGAATTGAGTGAAACTTGGCGAAGTGGTTCAAAACTGGTTTAGTAATAGAACACAAAGGCTAGTGGTAGAAGGCTGTTTGAGTGACTGGAGGCGGTGGCCAGTACCGGGACCTTTATTGTTTGTTACATCCCTAAATGATATAGCTGAAATAGTGGGGGGGAATGTTAAGCAAATTTGCAGATGATACCAGGATTGGTAGAGTGGTTAATGACATCGAAGATGATTGTAGGTTACAGGAAGAGATAGATGGATTGGTCAGATGGATAGGCCAGTGGCAGATGGTATTTAACGTTGATAAGTGATGCGCTTTGGAAGAAGAAACAAGATGAGGGAGTGTTTAATGAATGGCTGAACACTGGGTAGATTAGATTAGAGGAACAGAGATCATGGGGTAATTATTTGCAGATCCCTGAAGTCAGCAAAGCACATGAAAAGGATCGTTAAGAAGGCATATGGGACACCTGTTTTCATCAGTCTTGGCATAGAGTATAAGAGCAAGGAGGTAATGTTGGAGATAGTAGGAACTGCAGATGCTGGAGAATCTGAGATAACAAGGTATAGAGCTGGATGAACACAGCAGGCCAAGGGATTCTGTGATTCTAAATAGACCCTTCGGTCCAACTTGTCAGCAGCGACCAGACGTCCCAACCTAGTCCCATTTGCCAGCATTTAGCCCATATCCCTCTAAACCCTTGTTATTCATATACCCATCCAGATGCCTTTTAAATATTGTAATTGTACCCACCTCCTCCACTTCCTCTGGGAGCTTGTTCCATACACGCACCACCCTCTGTGTGAAGAGCTTTACCACTCGGGTCCTTTTTATATTTTTCCCCTCTTACCTTAAACCTCTGCCCTCTAAAGAACAAAAGAACAAAGAAAATTACAGCACAGGAACAGACCCTTCGGCCCTCCAAGCCTGCGCTGATCCAGATCCTCTATCTAAACCTGTCGCCTATTTTCCAAGGATCTCTATCCCTCTGCTCCCTGCCCATTCATGTATCTGTCCAGATACATCTTAAATGATGCTATTGTGCCTGCCTTTACCACCTCCGCTGCCAACGCGTTCCAGGCACCCACCACCCTCTGCATAAAGAACTTTCCACGCATATCTCCCTTAAACTTTTCCCCTAGTAATTGAGTCCCCCACTCTGGGGGAAAAAGCTTCTTGCTATCCACCCTGTCTATACCTCTCATGATTTTGTAGACCTCAGTCAGGTTCCCCCCTCAACCTCCATCTTTCTAATGTAAATAATCCTAATCTACTCAACCTCTCTTCATAGCTAGCGCCCTGCATACCAGGCAACATCCTGGTGAACCTCCTCTGCACCCTGTCCAAAGCATCCACATCCTTTTGATAATGTTGCGACCAGAACTGTACGCAGTATTCCAAATGTGGTCGAACCAAAGTCCTATACAACTGTAACGTGACCTGCCAACTCTTGTACTCAATACCCCGTCCGATGAATGAAAGCATGCCATATGCCTTCTCGACCACTCTATTGACCTGCATTGCCACCTTCAGGGTACAATGGACCTGAACACCCAGGTCTCTCTGTGCATCAATTTTCCCCGGAGCTTTTCCATTTACCTCTAGTTTTGGACTCCCCCCACCCTAGGAAAATGACCTTGGCTACGCACCCTATCCATACCCCTCATGATTTTATAGACCTCTATAAGGTCACCTCTCCATTTTCAAAGCAGCTTTTCAGTAGCTCATACGGGAGTTGACGGCGTAGTGGTATTATCACTGGATTTGTTAATGTTCTGGGAACCCGGATTTGAATCCTGCCATGGCAGATTTGAATTCAATTTTTTAAAAAACGTCTGGAATTAAGAGTCTAATGATGACTATGAATCCTTTGTTAGTTGTTGGAAAAGCCATCTGGTTCACTAATGTCAATGTCCTTTAGGGAAGGAAACTGCCGTCCTCACCTGGTCTAGCCTATATGTGACTCCAGGCCCACAGCAATGTGGTTGAATCTTAACTACCTTCTAGGCAATAAATGTCAGCCTAGCCAGCGACGCCTTCATCCTGTGAATGAATAAAAACAAGTTGCAAGATTGTAGTTAGATAACTAGATTATAGTTAGTTGATGGATTTACCATGGTTTCATATCGTAGATTGATTCTTAGATTGCCACTTCTCTATTCTCAATCCAAGGTCACCAAATGCATTGAAAATTAATAAACGTTTGCTAACTTGATTTACCTTATTTTTAATGGGCTCTTCTATCACACTGTCTAGACATTTTCCAGCTCTTCTGTACTGCTATTTAATTGCCTAGGAATGCTCCTACGGTGCTTTTGCATCCTGGAACTCTTTCCTTTCCCTCTATAATATGCATTCTTAAACCAGATTTCAGTGAAAAACCTTTCAAACCCATGGGGAAGAGCTTATCTCTTGCTGCAACAACAGCTGTCTCCAAGAAAAAGCAAACTACTTCAGATGCTGAAAACCTAAAGCAAAAGCAAAAAGAGAAAATGTTGGAAAAACTGAGCAGGTCTGGCAGCATCTGAGGAGAGAGAAATAAAGTTAATGTCTGATATGACTCCTGTTTGTGATACATTCAATTTGTTGGATTATAGTCCTGGATGTATTCATTGGAAATTGATTCCTGTGCTTTTGTTTAATGTCTGTCAAATTGTGTTAGTTCCTCATGGAGCAACTCTCGTTGGGAAGTGCTGGAGTAAACTCTGCATTTGAATAGAGGACTTATCTCTCTACTTCAGCTGTCTGCTTGGCAGTAATTCACAAGCTTTCATTGAGCATTATTGTCTTAATACCAGCTTAGCAGTGCTTCACATCTGCTTGAAGATACATCTCTAAGAACCTCATAGCATTTCAAATGAGGATCGATATTCACCAAGTCATACTGCATGTCACCAACATGGTGCAGTATGGGTTTTTGAAGCTATCTTTGAAATTGCAGGCATGGTACCTACTGCACCACCAGCAAAGAGAAAATTAACTTCATATCTAGAAGACTTTAAATGAAAGCTTTGCCTCTGTGGTAGCCTCTTATTTTTACATCAGAAGGGCTTTTTTGGTATTAGCTTGGCTCAAATTTCAAAACAGAACTGAAGGAATGCTGCACAATGGAAGGTGTCGTTTTTGGCTGAGACACTAAGTGAGGTTCTACCCTGGATGAATTCAAAAGATGCCATGGGACTATTTAAATAATCATGGGGAGTTAGCTCAGTACCTTAGCTAACATTTAGCCCACAACACCACAAATAGTAGATTGTCAGATAATTTATATGTTGTTTGTTCGATCTTGCATGTAAATTGACTCCTGAAATAAATATTATGCTTCATTTTAAGGACATGAGTGGGACTTTATAAATGTAGTTATACACAATTTTCCCATGAGTGGGGCTAAACAGATGGAGAATTTACTACGAACAGGTTTCTGTCCCCAACAGACTCTTCGGAGGCTGTACTTTTGCTTAATGATTTATATGTGCTTACTATTACTACTTAGTTTAATGTAACTTCACTAATGAAGGACGAGAAATAATGAGGGGCTAAAATGAGAGTTCAAATTAAATCGTAACTAGTCTATCAAATTTTGGAAGAATTGGAATTGGCATGGTTGAAAAACAATTGGTGATAATGCAAATTTAATTTTTTCATATTCTTCCTCTTGTTGCTGGACAATTTTGCACTGCTATCATTATTCAATACCATGTGAAGTATATACCTCTTTGAATGAAGTAGACTCATTCTGCCAGTGAACAGGACTGACATTTCTTTAACCAATAATGTTTGGTGGCATTGTGATGATGGTATGACTTTAAGATGTGTATGTTGTCCTGGATTTTGTATGAAGTGCATCTTTTTCAAAAAAGAAATTTCATTATTTCAACTGTTAACATTTCAATCAGACTCAATTGTTAAATCCAGCAAAGAATTTTAAACTGCTTAAATAAATAGCTGCTCTGATACATATCTATAAACTCTATATAATTAATTTCAAGTCCAGGATTCTATTTACTTTAACACTTTGCATTTCTTAGTTACTTAGCAACTACATAGATCCTCCTTTTGGAGATCAGTTAGCTCACTTGGCTGGTTTGTGATGCAGAGTGATTCCAATGGTATAAGTTCAGTTCCTATGCTGGCTGAACTTACCATGAAGGCCTGTCCTTTACATCCTCCCTCCTTGCCTGAGGTGTGGTGACCCTCAGGTTAGAGCAACACCACTTGCCTCTCAAATGAGAGAGCAGCCCTGTGATCCTCTGGGACTGCGGTGACATTGACCCTCATCAACCGACTGCTCTATGAAAATTAAGATCCTACCAGAGATGGTGAGTATCTATGACCTGGCTTGAAAACAAGTAGCAAAGCTTAAAATGGAACGATTATGATAGTAAGACTAGAATGATTTATTAAGTTCTAAAGACAAATTTAATTCAACTGGAAAGGCTAAAGATAAAAAATACTTTGGATGAATCAGTTTTCTGCCTTGATTGGACAAAGTTTTGTTTACTTCTTCTGCAAGAATTTTGCTTTAACACCTTGCCAACAAAATGTTCTTAATAATGTATATACAAACTCTGCCATGTGTATCTGCTTCATTTCTCTGCCAAATATCCAGCACCGTATGATGTTAGATATGATAAAGTTGGTAATTAGTAACCGTATCAGACTAAAGTTAATATATACCCATGTTTGTTTATTTATTGTTTTATGAGCCAGTGGTGTAGGCAGTGGATATTTAAAATGGTGGCTAAGATGCCAGTCAAGCAGAATTCTTTGTTCTGGATGGTGTAAGGTTTCTTGAGTTTTGTTGGAGTTGCAGTCATCCAGGCAAATGGAGAATAATCCATCAAACTTCAAATTTGTACCTTTTGGTTGGTGGACAGATTGACCAAAAACTTA